GTATATCAAACCACCATGCCTTAAACTTATACAGCAATGTATGTCAATTTTTTTTCTCAAAATGTGGGGGAAAAAAGAAGGCAGAAAAATAATAAAAAAGAAACAAAAAATGGGACAAATAGAAAATAACAACATGGTAAACTTACACACAACTATGTTAATGATTACATTAATGTAAATGGTCTAAACACTACAACTAAAAGACAGCTATTGTAAGATTGGCTACAAAAAGCAAGATCCAACCATATGCTGTTTAAAGAAATATGTTTTAAACATAAAAACCTAGAAAAATTAGAAACAAAAGCATGGAAAGAGATATGCCATTCAAAAAATAATCTTAAGAAGGCTGAAGTGGTTATATTAATATTTCATAAACTATACTACAGGATAGGAAACATTATAATGGGTAAAGGGATGAATTCATTAAGAAGTAATAATAACCCTGGGGCACCTGAGTGGCTCAGTCAGTTAAGCATCCAACTTCACCTCAGGTCATGATCTCATGGTTCATGAGTTTGAGTCCCGCATCAGGCTCTCTGCTGACAGCTCAGAGTCTAGAGCCTGCTTCGGATTCTGTGTCTCCTTCTCTCTCTCCGCCCCTCCCTGCTCATACTCTGTGTCTTTCTCTCTCTCTCAAAAATTAAAAAAAAAAAAAATATATATATATATATATATGAAGTAATAATAACCCTAAATCTATATATATCAAAAACATACCTTCAAATACATGAACTAACATGATATAAATAAAAGAAGAAATACAAATGCACAAATACAGTTGGAGATGTCAATACTCTTCTCTAAATAAGTGGTAGAACAAGTAAATAGAGATTCAGTAGGACAAGAATTGAAAAACTTGACCCAATTGACAGTTATAGAACATTTCATCCTAAAGAAAAGAATGCACTTTCCTTTTAAGTGTACATGGAACATCCAGTAAGATGATTACATTGTACATAACAAAGCCTCAATTAATACAAAAGACTGAAAAATCAATAACTGGAAAGATATTTACTTAATCTCCAAATATTGAAAATTAAATGGTACAAAATAACCTAAGAGTAATTAGAAAATTATATTCACATAAAATAAAATTAAAACATATCAACTGTATAAGGTAAAGATTCCACTTCTGGCATGGCAGTGTGGCAGAATCACTCCCTAGAGAAATTAGTGAAAATTATAAAAAACCAACTTTACCTTGTCTTTAAATAGGTTCTGGAAAGGGTCCTAAGGACATATGGTATATGAAGTAACATTTTCAAGAAAACTAACTAAAACTAGGAACAGTGAAAGTCTGCGGCATCTGAACTATGACCTATTCCCTCCTTACTCCCAGCTAAGCATAAAGGGAAATCCACTACAGATGGGATGCATCCAAGAACAGTGCTTCCTCTCCCCTCAGTACCCGGTCAGGAACTAAACTATCTTTCCAGGAGAGACAGGATATCAGCTTTTCTCATCCCATCTCAAGCTATTTGTTTAAAAGGCTAAGTTCCTGGAAAGTATTTCTAGGAAATGGGGGCTCCCTTCTTATGCCCATTCTTTGCACACAGGCTCGCAGTTCTATCTTATTTGTGGCTTAGTAAGAATAAGAGTACTATGCCTCTGATTCTCCTTGACACAGGTTTTTCATAAATAGGGGGTTCCATACTTGCAGATGCATGACAATAAGACCAGGGGCTACAGCCACACTTTCCACCATCCCTACCAAGTGCCTAGATCCTAAAGTAGGCATGCCACTCAAAGAGAAGTGCACCACTGTCTTCATACAAGCTTGAGAGCCATGGCTCAGAGACTGTGCCCGTGAAGAGAGGGAGGCCATAAAACAGGAAGTTCCTAAGTTCTTCCAAAGGGACTTCCTTCATTTGTTTTTAAAACTTTTTTTAAGTTTATTTATTCATTTTGAGAGGAGAGAGTGAGCAGGGGAGGGGCAGAGAGAGAGGGAGTCAGAGAGAACCCCAAGATGCAGGGCCCAAACTCACGAACCCTAAAGTCATGACCTGAGCTGAAATCAAGAGTTGGATGCTTAACTGACTGAGCCACCCACGTGCCCTGGGATTTCCTTCATTTTTAATAGACTGTGGGGAAGTTCAAGCCCAGGACAGTCTCAAGAATGAAGGGTCTGGTGAAAAGATTTGGAGGGTATGGCGAAAAGAAATTCAGAACAGTGGTAAACTCTTTATAGATATAAAATAAACCATAGGTCAGCTACTTTACCAGAGAGAATCAAGGAACGAGGCTGCTAAGAAGAGCATTCTCAGGTCAGAAAAACTCAAATACTGAACTAAAAACCTATCCCTATAATGGAACCCAAATTTACTTGAATCAGTATGTGAATCAATTTATGCTTGAGGGCGCTGTTGAAAACAATAAAACAAACAGCCAAGAATTTATGGAGCTTAACAGCTGAATGTAGTCTGGAAGCAAGATAATCAAAAAGGACTCACCAAAACCATAGTCATTCCAGGGTAACTGTGAACATACCCAAGGCTGCCCCTTTTGAGAAACATCAGAGGCTTCATATTGCAAGGAGAAGGGGAGGAACAGACTTCACTAAAATAATCTAACAAGTCACTAAAGATATAAACAAATAGCATTTTGGTTTCTGTTCCAGCATGCAAAGAGCTTGGAAATCATGACTCCCAACCTCACAAGATGAAACAAAGCTGAAAATCTGACAATAAAAACTCTTCTTTGATCAATCAAAGAATTAAGAACATAGAACAAACCACTACTCCCCCAAATGCAGATAAAGGTAAGTACAGAGAATCACAGCTTACCAGGAACAGAAAGTGACACTGAAGCTAGCCACATGCAGTAACTGACTATTTGTTGGGAGAGTGAGCATAGACTAGCTTGAGAGATAAAACCTCCTGGGGTCCCAGCTTTAGGGAAGCCCCCACATTTTCATTATTTTCATCTCTAAGAACCCAACAAATTTTCAGAGAAAAACCCTCACATGCTTTTGGCAAAGTGAGGAGAAAAGTAGCCATTTTGAAATCATCCTAGAGCATCCTGTTCTCCTTGACAAAGGTCTGCCCTCAAGGGAGATGATTTCTTCAGAGCATAACCATGATTTGAACAGAGCCTAATCAATGTGGAGGAATGGAATACCTAACTCAGATACTCTTCAGCTTTCCCATATCACCTAAGAAAAATAAAAAGGATGGGGCACCTGGGTTAAGTGTCTGACTTTAGCTCAGGTCATGATCTCATAGTTTGTGAGTTCAAGCCCCACATAGGGTTCTATGCTGACAGCTCAGAGCCTGGAGCCTGCTTCGGATTCTGTGTCTCCCTCTCTCTCTGCCCTTCCCCAGCTCGTACTCTGATTCTCTCTCAAAAATAAATAAACATTTAAAAAAAGAAGAAAAAAAGGCTGAGAAATACTTGTGAAGGTCACATCCCAGAGACACAAGCCCACTGAAAGACTATGATCTAATCATAGGAGTATAGAATACTTCTCCTCCACCCACAACTTACTACCACATCGACAAGCCTCCTGTGTAATAACAAGGGATTACAGTTGAAAGAACTACAAGGTTCAGACTCTGTTTAAGAAGTCTCTAAGTGAACCCGAAGACAATAGAGAAAACAAAAAGAACAAGAGAAAAATTTAGCTTTGACATGTACAGTTACAGCAAATGGTAATCACAACCTAACTCACAGATAAACATAAAACTTCACTCTTAAAGACCTATTTACCTCAGTAACTTTTACCTGATACAACATATTTGGTTTCAAAAAAAAGTTACAGGACATACTCAAAGGTAAAAAACATAGTCTGAGAAGACAAAGAAAGTAACAGAATAAGACTTGTATATGCAGAGATTTGGAAATTATTAGACAAGGAATATAAAATAACTACAATCAGTATTCTGTGGGCTCTAACGGAAAAACTGGACAACATACAAGAACAGATGGGTAATGTAAACAGAAAGGTGGAAACTCTTAAGAGCTTAAAAGGAAATGCTAGTAATCAAAAGCACTGTAACAGAAATGAAGAAGGCCTTTGATGGGGTCACCATCAGACCGGAACCAGCTTATGAACAAACTGGTGAGCTTGAAAATCCAATACAAATTCCCAAACTGAAATTCAAAGAGAAAATATAAAGGAAAAAGAGGAAGAAAATCTTCAAAAATTGTAAGACAATTTGTTTTTAATTTTTTTTGACATTTTATTTGTATTTTTGAGAGACAGAGAGAGACAGAGTGTGAGTGGGGGCAGGGTAGAGAGGGAGGCAGACACAGAATCTGAAGCAGGCTCCAGGCTCTCAGCTGTCAGCGCAGAGCCTGATGCAGGGCTTGAACTCATGAATTGCAAGATCATGACCTGAGCCAAAGTCAGATGCCCAACTGACTGAACCACCCAGGGGCTCCCCAAAATTTTAAGGCAATTTAAAAAGGTATAATACACACATAATGAAACTATCAGAAATATAAGAGAGAAAGGAACAAAAGAAATATTTAAAGTAATAATAACAGGGGCGCCTGGGTGGCTCAGTTGGTTGGGCGACCAACTTCAGCTCAGGTCGTGATCTCACAGTTCATGAGTTCGAGCCCCGCATCTGGCTCTGTGCTGACAGTTCAGAGCCTGGAGCCTACTTCAGATTCTGTGTCTCCCCATCTCTCTACCCCTCCCCTGCTCATACTCTGTGTCTGTCTCTCAATAATAAATAAATGTAAAAAAAAATAATAATAACAAATTGCAAAAATTAATGACACCAAACCAACAATCCAGGAAACACAGAGAACACCAAGTGGCAAAAAGTCTACATGTAAGCATATAGTATTCACATTGCAGAAAATAAAATGCAAAGATAAAATCCTGAAGAAGCCAAAGGGAAAAACTCACATTACCTATAGATGAACATGGATAAGAATTACAGGACTTCTCTTCAGAAACCATGCACACAAGCAGAGAATGGAGTAAAATATTTAAAGTATTGAAGGTCCTTTCTGCCTGTGGACGCCGCTGAGTAAGCATCGTGAAAGTCTCCCCTCCCACCGTCGTCATGTTTAAGTCAGAGTCTCCCAAAGAGCCTGAACAGCTGCAGAAGCTTTTCATTGGAGGTTTGAGCTTTGAAACAACCAATGAGAGTCTGAGGAGCCATTTTGAGCAATGGGGAACGATTACAGACTGTGTGGTAATGAGAGATCCAAACACCAAGCGCTCCAGAGGCTTTGGGTTTGTCACCTATGCTACTGTGGAAGAGGTGGATGCAGCCATGAATGCAAGGCCACACAAGGTGGATGGAAGAGTTGTGGAACCAAAGAGGGCTGTCTCGAGAGAAGATTCTCAAAGACCTGGTGCCCACTTAACTGTGAAAAAGATTTTTGTCAGTGGCATTAAAGAAGACACTGAGGAACATCATCTAAGAGATTATTTTGAACAGTATGGGAAAATTGAAGTGATTGAAATCATTACTGACCAAGGCAGTGGCAAAAAGAGAGGCTTTCCTTTTGTGACCTTTGACGACCATGACTCTGTAGACAGGATTGTCATTCAAAAATGCCATACTGTGAATGGCCACAACTGTGAAGTAAGGAAAGCTTTATCTAAGCAAGAGATGGCTAGTGCTTCTTCCAGCCAAAGAGGTCAAAGTGGTTCTGGGAACTTCGGTGGTGGTTGTGGAGGTGGTTTTGGTGGGAATGACAACTTTGGCCGTGGAGGAAACTTCAGTGGGCGAGGTGGCTTTGGCGGCAGTCGAGGTGGTGGTGGATATGGTGGCAGTGGTGATGGCTATAACGGATTTGGTAACGATGGAAACAACTTTGGAGGTGGTGGAAGCTATAATGATTTTGGCAATTACAACAATCAATCTTCAAATTTTGGACCCATGAAAGGAGGAAATTTTGGAGGCAGAAGCTCTGGCCCCTATGGTGGTGGAGGCCAATACTTTGCCAAACCACAAAACCAAGGTGGCTATGGCAGTTCCAGCAGCAGCAGTAGCTATGGCAGTGGCAGAAGGTTTTAATTACCGCCAAGAAACAAAGCTTAGCAGGAGAGGAGAGCCAGAGAAGTGACAGGGAAGCTACAGGTTACAACAGATTTGTGAACTCAGCCAAGCACAGTGGTGGCAGGGCCTAGCTGCTACAAAGAAGACATGTTTTAGACAATACTCATGTGTATGGGCAAAAAACTCGAGGACTGTATTTGTGACTAATTGTATAACAGGTTAGTTTCTGTTCTGTGGAAAGTGTAAAGCATTCCAACAAAGGGTTTTAATGTAGATTTTTTTTTTTGCACCCATGCTGTTGATTGCTAAATGTAATAGTCTGATCATGATGCTGAATAAATGTGTTTTAAAAAAAAATAATAAAATAAATAAATAAATAAATAGATAAATAGATAAATAAATAAATACATAAAGTATTGAAGGAAAAATCCCACCAACCTAGAATTCTATATCTGGAAAAGCTATTCTTCCAAAGTGAAGAAAAAATAGACCTTCTAAGGCAAACAAAACCAAAATGAATTTGTTGCTAGTAGATGTGCCTTAGAAGAAATGTCGAAAGAAAATTTTCACAGAGAAGGAAAAAGATATATGTTAGGAACTGAGATCTATGTCAATTAAGGAAGAGAAAACAGAAAAAGAATAAGCGAAAGTGAAATAAAATCGTTTACTTTTCTTATTCTTAACTGACCTAGCAGATAACAGTTTGTTCAACATAATAGCAACAATATATTGGAAAATTATACCTTATGAATAAATAAAATGATTGACAGCAATGTTATAAAGAATAAAAGATTTTCAAACACTCTATTTCAAGATACCTGCATTATCCCTAGACTTGTAAAGTGTTGTTTAAAAGTGGACTTAGTTCTAAGTGTATATTAAAAATCTATGGTCACCACTTAAAAAAGTTTTTTAAAAAGAACTATATTGGAGTCCCTGGGTGACTCAGTTGGCTAAACAGCCAACTCTTGATCTCAGTTCAGGTCTTGGTGTCAGAGTCAAAATTTCAAGCCCTGCACTGGGCTCAGTGCTGGGTGTGAAGCCTACTTAAAAAAAAAGAAAAGAAAAGAAAAGAAAAAGAACTATATTGATATGCTAACAAGAGATAAAACAGAATCATATAAAATGCTCTATTAAAAAAATGCTCTATTAAAACCATAAAGGCTAACAAATGAGTTGAATACAAAAAAGAAACAAAGAATAGAACAATGAATAGAAAATAGTTACAAATATGGTAAATATTAATCCAACCATATCAATAATCACTTTAAATGCAAATGGACATATACACAATTAAAACACAGAATGTCAGAGGCACCTGGTTCGCTCAGTCAGTAAAATGTCCAACTCTTGATTTCAGCTCAGGTCATGATCTCATGATCATGAGATTGAGCCTGCATTAGGCTCCACTGCACTGGGCATGGAACCTGCCTAAGATTCTCTCTCTCCCTCTTCCTCTGCCCCTCCCCAACTTACGCTCTCACTCTCTCAAAATATATATATATATATATATATTTTAATGCAGAACATCAGAGTGAGGGGGGAAAAAGCCAACTATATATATATTTATTTACAAGAAACTCACTTTAATATAAAGATGCAAAAAAAAGATAACACTAATCAAAGGAAGGCTGGAAGAACTATATTAATTTCAGACAAAGCTGATTTCAGAGAAAGGAAACTTATCAGAGATAAAAAGGAGGCATTACAGAACTATAAAAATTTAATTTATCAAGGCCTAACAATCTGTGACTTCTGGGGAAAAAAAAGGAGTAAGAAGCCCCTAAGCACACCTTGTTCCATAGATACAACTAGGTAACACACACATCAGTGTAAATAACCCAGAAAATGACCCAAAGATTGGCATAATGGACTCTCCACAGCTAAATGTAGAGAAGAGGCCACAAGGAAGAGTGTAGGAAGGGCAGAGACATGATCGGAAGCTAAACGACCTGTGGGGCTCTCTGTTAGAGGGAGGAATGCCGTGAGTGCAGAGAGGAGAGAGGAATAGACTCTCACACTGGGGAGCCCATGCAGGAAAGACGAAGCCCATAACATTTGGCTCTGAAAACCAGAAGGGCCAAATTTTTCAAGTTCTTACAATCAGCAGGACTTAACCCTTGGAACTTTAAAAATCGGCAGGCTTGGATCTGGGAGAGCTGGAAGGGCAAAAAGAAACTGAGTCCCTGCCCTCAAAGACACAGCACAACAAATGGCCCAGCAGAAATACAGCACTGAAGCAGCAGTTTGAAAAACACCTGGGGTATATGGGAGATTGTTTACTAATCTCAGGACATGTGATAGAGATCTTTGGGAGACTTCTCCAGGAACAAAGGAGCTGGTGGGCACCATTTCCCTCCCCTGCCCCCAGCCTAGGCACACAGACATCTGTAGAAACCAGTGCTGCTAACACCATACCATACTTCTGACTTGAGCAGTTCTGAAAATCCACCCCCTCCAATGCAAACCTTGCTACCACCACCCACCCTGACCCCTGTTTCTCTGTGGTCCTGCCAACTTTGATATACTCTTGGCCAGAGCCGATCCAAAGCAGTGCCACAGGCCTGATAGTGGGCAAGCATCCCTGACAGGGGCCACCACTACTCCCAAGTGACTCCTGCCTGGGAAAGAGAGAAAGATAACCAAACACACAAGTCCAGCTGGGGCCCCAGCAACAGGCTGGGGACAGATATCTAGTCTGAGGGCAGGCCTTACCCACTAACAAAAGCTTCTCAGGGGACAAAATAGGGAAAGCACCCTGCAGTTTGGTGCTACTGCATCTCTATCAAACACCTAGTGTGACTCAACGTAAGTCCAAGATGGCCCCAATTGGCCCACTAACAACATATAGGGACTAACCCCTGTCCACAGTAAAGTGAGCCGTTGCAGACAATAGGACTGAAGGTAAAAGTGGTTCAGTCACAACAGCAGAGTACATGCAACACACATAAGAGACACCCCTGAAGCACCAGGTTCTAGTGAACAGTGGACACTGCACTGTAGGGCACTACAGGACCTCTTCAAGAGCAGGAGACAAAACCGACTTTACTAACACACGGAACCATACACAATGAGGAGACAAGAAAATGTTCCAAATGGAAGAATAGGACAAAAATCACAGCAAAACACCTACACAAAACAGAGATAAGCAATATGCCTGATCAAGAATTTTAAATAATGGTCATAAAGATACTTACTAGACTTGAGAAAAAAGTGGAGGACCTCAGTAAGACTCTCAATAAAGAAACAGAAAACTTAAAAAAGAACCAATCAGAGATGAAGAACTCAATAAATAAAACTTAAAATGTACTAGATGAAATAAATAATAGACTAGAGGAACCAGAAGAACAGATCAGTGACCTGGAGGACAGAGAAATGCAAAGCAATTAAGCTGAACAAGAAAGAGAAAAATAATAATAAAAAATGAAAATAGACTTAGGGAACTCAGTGACACCATCAAGAATAATAACATTCACATCATAGGAATCCCAGAAGAGAAGAGAGAGAGAAGAGAGGGCAAAAATTTTATTTGAAGAAATAATAGTTAAAAAGTTCCCAAATCTGGGGAAGGAAACAGAAATCCAGATCCAGGAGGCACAGAGAGCCTGCAACAAAATCAACCTAAGGAGTTCCACACTAAGACACATAATCATTAAAATGGCAGGAAGTAGTGATAAACAGAGAATTTTTAAAGCAACAAGAGAAAATAGTTACATACAAGGAAGACTCCATAAAGCTATCTGATTCTTCAGCAGAAACTGCAGGCAGTGGCATGATATAATTGCTGAAAGGAAAAAATCTTCAGCCAATAATACTCTATCCAGGAAGGAGAATAGAAGGATAAATAACGAGTTTCCCAGAATAAGTTAAAGGAATTCATGACCAGTAAACCAGCTTTACAAAAAAATGTTAAAGAGGACTCTTTAGGGTAAAGGAAAGACCATAAGCAGAAGTAAGAAAAGTAGGAAGCACAAAAGGAGTGAAAATAAGTATACCTATACAAATCAGTCAGGGATTCACAAAATAAAAGGATTTTGAAGTATGACACCAAATATCTAAAACATTGCAGGGCAGGGGAGAAAAGAGTGGGTTCAAACATAAGTGACCATCAACTTAATGTAGACTGCTATAAACAGAAGATGGTATATACAAACCTATTGGTAACCATGAAACAAAAATGAGTAACAGATATGCAAAAAATAAAGACAAAGGAATCCAAGTATATCACTGAAGAAACTGAACAAACTGTGAGAAAAGAGAGCAAGAGAAGAAAGGAACAGAGAAAAATGGCATAAACAACCGTAAAACAAGTAATAAAATGGCAATAAGTACATACCTATCAATAATTACTCTGAATATGAATGAGCTAAACATTCCAATCAAAGGCAAAGGGTGACAGAATGGATAAAAAAAGTAAGGCTCATCTATATGCTGCCTACAAGAGACTCATTTCAAATCCAAAGACACCTGCAAATTGAAAGGGAGGGGATGGAAAAACATTTATTATGCAAATGGAAGTGAAAAGAAAGCTAGGGTAGCAATATTTACATCAGAGAAAATAGATGTTAAAACAGACTATAACAAGAGGCAAAGAAGGACACTACATAATCAAAGGGAACAATCCAACAAAAAGATATAACAATTGTAAATATTACTGCACCCAATATGGAGCACTCAAACATATAAGGCAGCATATAAAAAAACACAAAGGAAGTAATTGATAGTAAAACAGTAATAGTGGGGGACTTTAACACCCCACTTAAACCAATGGATAGGTCATCCAAACAGAAAATCAAAAAGGAAACAGTGACTTTGAATGACACACCGGCCCAGATAGACCTCACAGATATCTTCAGATTAATCCATACTAAAACAGCAGAATACACATTCCTTCAAATGCACATGGAACATTCTCCAGAATAGATGACATTTGAGACCATGAAAGAAGTCTCAACAAATTCAAAAAGATTGAAGTCATACCATGCATGTTTTCTGACCACAACACTATGAAATTAAATATCAACCATAAGGAAAAAATCTGGAAAAAACACGAATACATGGAGTTTAAATAACATGCTACCAAACAATGAATGGGTCAACCAAGGAATTAAAGAGGAAATAAAAAAATACATAGAGAAAAAGGAAAATGAAAAAAAAAAAGGTCCAAAATCTTTGGGATGTAGAAAGGTTGTTTTAAAAGGGAAGTTTACAGCAATACAGGCCTACCTGAAGAAGCAAGAAAAATATCAAATAAACAAACTAACCTTACACATAAAGGAGCTAGAAAAAGAAGAAAAAACAAAATTCCCTAAACCAGAAGGAAGGAAATAAATACT